TATGAACATATGAACATAAACTACATCTAAAGGAATTCACAGAGGGAAATATAGTAAAAAAAAAGCTAAAACTCGTCAGAATGTCTGTTATTCATTGTTGAGACTGTTTATTGCACATATAAATTAGCATTGTGCGCGCAATAATGAAATAAGCTTAAAACAAAAGACATTCTGCCATATGGAATCAATAGTATAACTTGATATTGTGGGAAAGAAATTCAAATTGTGACAAAATAATGTGTTTTGAACTGGATAAAAAAAATACTACTCCATAGATAGTGTCACACAGGCAGCTAGTTCTCACCCACACAATTTTCACATAAATTACACTGACATATGAAAATTATCTGGATTTTATTTTAAAATACAGTTTCGCCTTATATCGTAATGTGAGTGCTTACCCTCTTCCATTCTGAAGGGATTTTTGTTAATATTAACATTAATACTGATGCTGTTTCCTTGTACAATCTTTATCAAATATTTTGAATAACATAAAATTATTTTAAATAAAAAACTTAGCATGTTTTCTAATAAGTGTATCTGCAAACAGTTCTTCAAATCTTTCTTTTTGGTTTAACAGATAAAGATTACAACTAAAGTGTTAATGTTGTTAATCAGTGGGTCTTTGGGAAATTATGGATTTACTTGTTTATGCCTTGAAATAAAAATAAAATGTTTCTATTATTTTTACTGAACGGAAATTCTGTACAAATGTCCTTTATATAAAGCAATTGTATCCTGCAATTGTGTTGCAGAATACTCCTTTTCAACCTGTCTAGAGCAAGATTATTTATTTTCACAATCCCCCCCCCCCCCCCTTCCCCCACGCAAAATTAAATGGTTGTCCCTTATCCAAGTAAAAATCTTGGAGGGTTGAGTGCCACAAGATATTTTTCCTAGCCCAAATAAGGAACCTCTTTAGCTGTTGTCTTTTTAATGACAATCATGTAACACCATTTCTTCTTTGGTCCATACTTTCTTATTATATTCTAGGAATCTCAGATTGCAATATTTTAATTAAATTGAAATTTCTTCAACTGTTTTTTTTTTTTAAACAACAAGTATGCATACATTTTGTATATAGATCCTATAAATATACATATACCTTTTGTACCATGTATCAAATATGGGCATCATGTGTTTAGAAACAACTACTGAGAAAACATCATTAAAAAATCATCTTCATAATGTAACTTCAAAGACAACACAGACTTAGGCTATAATGCACCAAAAGATGGATATCAACATTGCATTTATAAAATCTCATCAAATCTGAGTAATTGTTTATTGCCTGAAGACATACATAATCATACTTTGTTGTCGTATATAGCAGTATTACCCTCCTGAGACATCAAATCCTGGCAAAATGATCTCCTGTATTTTTGTTATATATTTTTTATTTTCTTTAGTCCAATCATAAAATGAATCTGAGAACATTCTACAAGAATGAAGATATTGTGTCATTTTATTAGTCTGCACTGATTTTCTCTGCTTGACATTAAATTCTTAATATGAGAAAGGCATTTAAAATTCTTCAAATGTTTCTACTTAATTTCAACTCTTACCACCTATGATTTCTTACATAAATGTCTGGGTTTTTTTTAAAAGGAAATGAATGTAAATAAACAAACAAGTTCTAAACCTTCATAACACTGTTATATGCACACAAAAATAACAAATGTTAAGCTTTTAAGATTATTTTAAAAAGTGAAACAGACTAAATAAAAGATATGAATCCATGTATAAAACCATGATAAGCATGTATCTCTTCACAACACCCTTCTTATAAGTGTTGACATAGAGTAGTGTTTGTCTACAATATCTTTTTATAAGATTTGTTATAAGTTTTCATTTCAGTACTGTTTGAACATATACATGTGTTTGGATTTTTTAGTTGTCTTGATCTTTATTTTTTTATTTCTAAAGTGAATCATCAATAAGATTTGTATACAATTGATTTTTCTTTTATTTTCTTGAAATAAAGTTCACTTAACTTATTTTCAAGAAATATTTCAACAACATTTCGAATATTATATAGGGGAAATAATTTTCTGGTGAATAAAAAAAAAAACTTATCAATAGAAATCATTTTTTTTTTGTTAATTGTTCTGATCAATATCATTCACTTTCAGAAAATAACTTAAAACTAGAGGCTCTCAAGAGCCTGTGTCGCTCACCTGTATTTACTGATGCTTTGGAAATCATGTAAAATAAGGTTAAAATCATAATCAATAGTATTAGATATTAGATATTATAATGATATCTAAGATAATAACAAAAAACTGCAAAATTTTTGTAAAATTACTAACTCAGGGGCAGCAACCCAACAACGAGTTGTCGGATTCGTCTGAAAATTTCAGGGCAGATAAATCTAAATCTGATGAACATTTTTGCCACCTGTCAGATTTGCTCTAAATGCTTTAGTTTCAGAGATATAAACCAAAAACTGCATTTTACCCCTATGTTCTATTTTTAACCAAGTCGGCCATGATGGTTGGAAGGCGGGGTCATCGGACAAATTTTTTTAAAATAAATACCCTAATAATGATTATGGCCAAGTATGGTTAAATTTGTCTCAGTAGTTTCAGAGAAGAAGATTTTTGTAAAAGATTACAAAAAAATTGACTATAAAGGGCAATAACTCCTAAAGGGGTCGACTGACAATTTTGGTCATGCGACTTATTTGTAGATCTTACTTTGCTGAACATTATTGCTGTTTACAGTTTATCTCTATCTATAATAATATTCAAGATAATAACCAAAAACTGCAAAATTTCCTTAAAATTACAAATTCAGGGGCAGCAACCCAACAACAGATTGTAAGATTTGTCTGAAAATTTCAGGGCAGATAGATCTTGACCTGATAATCAGTTTTACCTAATGTCAGATTTACTCTAAATGCTTTGGTTTCAGAGATATAAGCCAAAATCTACATTTTACCCCTATGTTCTATTTTTAGCCATGGCAGCCATCTTGGTTGGTTGGCGGGGTCATCTGACACATTTTTTAAACTAGATACCCTAATGATGATTGTGGCCAAGTTTGGTTAAATTTGGCCCAGTGGTTTCAGAGGAGAAGATTTTTGTAAAAAGCTAACGACGACGACAGACACCGGACGCCAAGTGATGAGAAAAGCTCACTTGGTCCTTCGGGCCAGGTGAGCTAAAAACATATCCCTGCCCTACAATACCTTTGGGCACTGTTAATGCATTAACAATATTTTTGTTTTGTTTACCCTGCAAGTATCCGATGTCTATAAGGCAGATTTGATGCATTGTATGAGATACATAGGTTAGAATACAGTCTATATTGGTTCTAACATTGATTTTATTTTCAATAGTTTACTACATAAATAAACATGTATTGCTATCTAATTATTAACACTTGAGGTGTTACATTCTGTCAATACCTATGTTTAGTCATGCTTTCTCAGACAGCTTGTGACATCTTTACACTAAACAAACTGGAGGTGTACTAATTGATATTTTAGTCTGGTAAAACATGGTTTATTTGTTAGTTGTAATTGGGATTGGATCTAGCATACAGTACTGGGAGTACTTTTAGAAAAGTAATTGTGACCTTGTCATTTTGTATTTTGCTTTTACACTTTGTACAGATCTGATCAGTCAAGCCCTTTCTGTCTGAACTTAACAGTTTGTTCAAATATTGTGCTTACAGCACAGATTAGGGGAGGGTTGAGAGCTTTCAAAACATGTCCACTATTATGGCTCACTATGTAGTATGGATTTTGCTCATTGTTGAAGGCTGTATAGTGACTTGTAGTTGTTTTTGGTCTTTGGTGGATAGTTGGCGCTCAACTAATTATTTTCCAATAGAGGAAATAGTTTATTCTAGACTAAGTTCATGCATACCTCAGAAACTGATTAACAAAAGAAAAAACCCTGACATAGTACACACATATTATATGTATATAAACATTCTATACATAGAACTATTGTATCTTGGAAACTAGGTGTCTAATGAATAAAGTATGCATAAAATCGTAATTCTTTTTGGTGAAGACTGACAAACAATTTAGCCTCAATTGACAAAGTTCTACTTCACAAAAAATTGAATACAAAATCCTTAATTCCTCCCTCATCCCTAAAAAAATTTATACAAAAATGTCCCAGAGGCAGGAAAAAGAAAAAAAATCTTTTAATTCACTTAAACTTCAGATTGAAATTACATTAATTATAGTAATGTCTAGATAAATTACCTCCCCGTGGATCAACTATGAGCAAAAGTTATCTCTCCTGGCAGAATCACAAAAAAATAAAATTGTTATTCTATTTAAATAGAACTAGTACCTGTCTTTTTTTTACTTACTATCTCTGGGTCAATTCCATTGCAGGTAAATTGTTAGTCCCTTTTGGTTTCATTATCCTAGTAGGAAATGCCATGATTTATCATATAATTTTGAATAAAACTTTTTTTATCATTTCTTTTGAGTTACCAGTTATTTGCTGATCACATTTGCTCTTGCTCAAAATACTCAAACATTTTCTATTTTTCTTACTTTCTAAGCATCTGTTCACACTATACTTACACATGGTTTATATGGAGATTATATGTGATATTTGGTGAATAATCTATATATATTACCCTTGATTCTATCATCACACTTTTAAGTCACTATATATTGTGTAAATAAATCCTCTTTGGAATTTAATAATTTGTATTTAGTTGCACCATTTTTAACTTTTAAAAAATGGCCACAATGCTTAACCTGATGAACTGAAATTTATCCAAAAGAACTGCTTTCATTAAACAAAATTATTTTAAAATCACTGTATTACCTTTTGGTTTTTTTTTTTGCTATTTGGATAATGAGTCATAATTGTGTACTAAAAGAGCTGTCATGAGCATTTATATTTTACATTCATGCTTTTTAAATGCTCATAATAAAATCACCAAAATTATCATCCCAATATTAATAATAGTATCACTGATAACAAAAGCTTTGGCATACCTAATATTCAATGTAAATGTTAACTTACCTATTTCACATTTATCTCCCCTGAAGTTAGTCGATGAACAGTCACATGTAACACCATTGTCTTCTTCAATACACACACTACCATGTAAACAAGGACTATTTGTTATACACTCCTTTGTACCCATTGTCATGTTTAATGAGTCCAATATCTTTGGTCTGAAAAGTGGACCACCACAATTACTGTAAAGAATATTTCTAATATATCCATTAAATCTGGTCTCAAAGAAAACCGAAGGCAGTGTCAAGGCCTGTGTTCTGTCTTCATAGTCTTTAGATATGCCTCCAACAAAAACATAATTATTAAATTTATTCTGAATACCAAAGAGTTGATCTTTGCCTTGGTATTTTCTAGGGTGTGTAGAATCATCGACATGTAGAGATATGTAAGAGTCTTTACGAATTATCAGTACTTTATGCCAAATATTGTCATGTAATTGTTCACCAGCGACCAGTCTCATCTTACCACTACCTAAATCAAACACTACATGTAGCTTTCCTTTTAAAAGTTTGACTTCAAAATAATCGTTAATACCCCCATCATCTGTATAAAATAGTAAAACATTTTCAAAAGTTGTTTTAAATTCCATTTGTATTGAACCATTTCTGCAGGGCTTCCATTCCTCTATCTTAACAAATGCAAATTCCGATCCTTTAATTTCAAATCCTGCAGTGCAGACATTTATTAATATTGCTGCAATACAGAAAACAGTTGACACCATTTCTTGTAACAGAGCCATTATGAAATCACATTATATTCTTTAAGTTAACATGTTCTTATTCAAGCAAGAATATAAAAGTAATTTTTGCTCTTTTCAGAACTCATACCAATCAACTATTTTCCGACAAATATTACCATTCTTGATTTCCAATGGAAGAAGTAATACAAAATTGAACTGTAATGAAAAATCATTCTAATCCAGACAAAGTTTGGAATCTCTTTGATGTAACTGCTTTTTAATAAAACCGTAGTTATGATTACCATAAAAAATCATATCGTTGTGCGACCAAGAGTCTATAGTTGTCTATTCCATAAATGTAATCAGAGTTCGGAGAAAATTATTGATTACACATAACTTCTGGCACTTCAGGATATATCATTGCTATTGATGCACTGTTTGTGCTGGAGTATAACATAAAGATTTTATAAAAGTGCTTCGTGATTTCTAATGGATGACTATTTCACTACAACCAATCAACTCATAGTTAAATTCTCCACATAAATCTGTAAAAAAACAAATAATTTGTTAAATGAAATAATTCAATTAAAACTATAAATGAACAATCCATGTTAAAATAAAGTAGTGGAAAACTTTATTCTTATTAATATCTGGTGCGATTCAGATGTAATTGCAGCCTATATATTTCGGTAATCAATTGCCGTCGCACATCGTTGTTTTTTAATTTGGAAAACTGTCATATTGATGTTTATTCATTATGAAGCATATTTAAGCACCAAAAAACTCCGAATTTCAATCTCCTGGAAAGATCATTGATTATATCTAAGTTATGAGAAGCAGGATGCTGTGATGTCTTAAATTGCGTTACAAGTCTTTAATTTCAGTACAGTAATTTGCACATTATTCAACAAGATTGTTTTATTATTAGAAAGATTTTATCACAAAAGAGAAATATAGAGAATAAAGTTTAGAATTTGATTAGTTCATATTTAAGTTAGGAAGTTTATTTAAAGAGGAAAAGCAAATTAAAATTTATTACATTCTATCAAGAGTCAAGATAAATATATTATGAATTATCATGAATACCTGTGATTTTTTATATAGATAGATTTTCACATTAAGCAATTTCAACTTCTAACCTGTTAGTAGTAAAACACCCAAAAAAGGAAGTTTATTTAAAGAGGAAATGCAAATTAAAATTTATTACATTCCATCAAGAGTCAAGATAAATATATTATGAATTATCATGAATACCTGTGATTTTTTATATAGATAGATTTTTACATTAAGCAATTTCAACTTCTAACCTGTTAGTAGTTAAACACCCAAAAAATTCTTAAACTCATTTTAAAATGAAAACTAGTATCTTGAGGAAGATGCCCATAATAGAGTTCATGAAAATCCAAGATAAGATTTAGCTAATAGTACTGGACACAGGATAAAGGAAAGATAGGAATATTGCCATAAAGATTTCTCATTCCGTTTTCTCACATTTGGATAGCTGTCTGATTGGCATTCATAACACACCTCCTCATTATTTTTTAAATAAGAGTTCATATGAGTGAAATAGACTCATATATTCTACAATAGCTACTATACATAATAGATCTTTATAGACTTTCCTATGAACAATGCTTTATAACAAAATTACAGGAAATCAGCTATTCGGATTGTAAATGATTCCACAAGGGATGTATAAAGTAAATATTTTAAAATTGCTGCACCTTGATCTTTTAATTAATTGTTGATTGTTGTTTGCTCAACATCCCTTGGCAAATATTATGTGCATATTCAGGATGAGCTTGCACTTTTGTAATAATCAATTAGCAATATATACACTGAGAGTGGTAGACAAATACTGATTTAGATATATGAAATGTTTTGTTTTGATTGTGTTGTTTGGCTTCTGTCTCAATTACTCACTAATTTATTGTAACTGGAGAGCATGATTCTTATTTGAAAATCACATGTGTCTGCTCTAGGACTCAAACCAGGGATATCTGTGTTACAAGTCAGTGCTCTAACCCACTGAGCTAAAGAAGTACTTCCCTAGCTCAAACACTTATGGCTGACCAAGTATCTACTACTAAAGCAATCTTGTCACACTTCCCCCACCTTAGTGTTAACATATTTCATCATTTAAATTCAAGTTCAATAATATACACAATTAGGCATTAATATATTAATACAACTGAATAATTAATAGGATCCGGAAACAAGTATCATCTCCAACCACAGTGGGAGTTTTAGCTGGGCGCCAAATGTAACCAGTGAGCATGACTCATAGTCACTAGAAAATCACATTGCCAAGACTCTAACCCAGGACCACTGCATTAAAAGTCAGCACACTAACCGACTGAGCAAAAGACTCTAATCCAGGACCTCTGCATTAAAAGTCAGCAAACTAACTGACTGAGCAAACTCTAACCCAGGACCTCTGCATTAAAAGTCAGCACACTAACTGACTGAGCAAAAGACTCTAACAAAGGGACCTCTGCATTGAAAGTCAGCACACTAACAGACTGAGCAAAAGACTCTAACCCAGGACCTCTGCATTAAAAGTCAGTACACTAACCGACTGAGCAAAAGACTCTAACCCAGGACCTCTGCATTAAAAGTCAGCACACTAACAGACTGAGCAAAAGACTCTAACCCAGGACCTCTACATTAAAAGTCAGCACACTAACAGACTGAGCAAAAGACTCTAACCCAGGACCTCTGCATTAAAAGTCAGCACACTAACCGACTGAGCAAAAGACTCTAACCCAGGACCTCTGCATTAAAAGTCAGCACACTAACCAACTGAGCAAAAGACTCTAACCCAGGACCTCTGCATTAAAAGTCAGCACACTAACCGACTGAGCAAAAGACTCTAACCCAGGACCTCTGCATTAAAAGTCAGCACACTAACCGACTGAGCAAAAGACACTAACCCAGGACCTCTGCATTAAAAGTCAGCACACTAACCGACTGAGCAAAAGACTCTAACCCAGGACCTCTGCATTAAAAGCCAGCACACTAACCGACTGAGCAAAAGACTCTAACCCAGGACCTCTGCATTAAAAGCCAGCACACTAACCGACTGAGCAAAAGACTCTAACCCAGGACCTCTGCATTAAAAGTCAGCACACTAACCGACTGAGCAAAAGACTCTAACCCAGGTTCTCTGCATTAAAAGTCAGCACACTAACCGACTGAGCAAAAGACACTAACCCAGGACCTCTGCATTAAAAGTCAGCACACTAACCGACTGAGCAAAAGACTCTAACCCAGGACCTCTGCATTAAAAGTCAGCACACTAACTGACTGAGCAAAAGACTCTAACAAAGGGACCTCTGCATTGAAAGTCAGCACACTAACAGACTGAGCAAAAGACTCTAACCCAGGACCTCTGCATTAAAAGTCAGTACACTAACAGACTGAGCAAAAGACTCTAACCCAGGACCTCTGCATTAAAAGTCAGCACACTAACAGACTGAGCAAAAGACTCTAACCCAGGACCTCTACATTAAAAGTCAGCACACTAACAGACTGAGCAAAAGACTCTAACCCAGGACCTCTGCATTAAAAGTCAGCACACTAACCGACTGAGCAAAAGACTCTAACCCAGGACCTCTGCATTAAAAGTCAGCACACTAACCGACTGAGCAAAAGACTCTAACCCAGGACCTCTGCATTAAAAGTCAGCACACTAACCGACTGAGCAAAAGACTCTAACCCAGGACCTCTGCATTAAAAGTCAGCACACTAACCGACTGAGCAAAAGACACTAACCCAGGACCTCTGCATTAAAAGTCAGCACACTAACTGACTGAGCAAAAGACTCTAACCCAGGACCTCTGCATTAAAAGCCAGCACACTAACCGACTGAGCAAAAGACTCTAACCCAGGACCTCTGCATTAAAAGTCAGCACACTAACCGACTGAGCAAAAGACTCTAACCCAGGACCTTTGCATTAAAAGTCAGCACACTAACCGACTGAGCAAAAGACACTAACCCAGGACCTCTGCATTAAAAGTCAGCACACTAACCAACTGAGCAAAAGACTCTAACCCAGGACCTTTGCATTAAAAGTCAGCACACTAACTGACTGAGCAAAAGACTCTAACCCAGGACCTCTGCATTAAAAGTCAGCACACTAACAGACTGAGCAAAAGACTCTAACCCAGGACCTCTACATTAAAAGTCAGCACACTAACAGACTGAGCAAAAGACCCTTAACCAGGATCTCTGCATTAAAAGTCAGAACACTTATAGACTGAGCAAAAGAAGTATTTCCCTAGCTCAACCTCCTACAGCTGGCTAAGTATCTACTACTTAAATAAATCATTCTCGTCACAACATATTGTGCAAAATCAACTATTCCTACAATGATCATATCAATAATTAAACAGCTGATCTTATTACAGTGTGTATGAGGCTATTGAATCAAAACCTCTGTGAGAAGTTCTTTCATTATTCAGTTTCAAAATGTAATCATGCATGTTTTCTGAGTATAAATTAATTGAAGCACCTGTATGATATGTTGTAAATCTTTAATAGACACAATATAAAACCAATAACACTGCTTCATTTACTTTGTCAGATAAAAGAATATTTAACAGGTATTAATACAAATGATAAACAACCAGGAATAGTCATATCTATCCTCTCCCTATGATTGTTAAAACTATAACTGTGAGTTAACTAACAATACCCGCCCCCTAAATTTGATTATCTCACTTGCTAGATAATTCCTTTATGCACATCCTCAGGTAGTGTTCTATGACTGTAAAGTTTCATCAATATCTGTCTGTCTTTAAAGAGTAGTTGAACAATAACCATACTATGCAATATTAAAGTTAGACGTAAATTTAATAAGTTGGATTATCTCCAAATGACATAAAAATAAATTTTACATTTCCAAAGGGCTAATAACAGAGTTAACACCAATAAAGGGGGCACGGTAGTATTTCCTGGCCCATAGGGATAATGATAGCCTTTTTAGAATAACCACCACTTTCTAACACTGCCAAAAATTCTACATACACAGTTAACTGAAGTACTTTCATTATAATATTCATAAATTAATTTGAATATGTATGATGACCATTTACCTTTTTTGCTATTTTTATGAACCAAGGCCACTGGTGCTTTTAGGTCTTTTATCATGCAGTGAATACAAAATTTTTAAAAAATCTCATAAATTCATTTTCACCTGTATGTAAAATTATTTCATATTTTTCTACACCTGATTCATCCCTCAGTTTGGGAAAGAATGTTCTGTAGATTTTTTTGTCCAATCACAATGTTCAGATACATTGACTTAAGTGGGGTACACAAAAGAGCAACCTAAACTCCGGAATATAAACACTACAGTGCCACCTAAAACAGTTATTGCACACTGATTGTGTTAAGAAATCCTAGATATTGTTCAGGCAGAACTACTGTAAAAACAATTGATTGGCACTGATTTTTAAAGTCATCCAAGATATTGCTTAAATAAACCTTTGCTATAAATTTTATAAAAATTCAACATGAAATGTAGGAGTGAGAGGGCTAGAAGATGAAACAGAAGGATAGACTGAGGTACTGTGTTACTTAAGTTGATCATAAATCCACATTTTGGCTGGGGAAAATTAAAAAAAAAGTTAGATATAAGAAAGTATCAGAAATGTTATCTAATAACATAGTCTCAATGTATTATGGCCATATATTTTTTTGGTGATAGCCACATATAATTGTTTATAGCACTGCTCTCATTTTTATATCTATAACAGCATTATTCACTTGTTTAGAGATAAAATTTTTGTCAAACATTATTTCTAGATTTGAATCTATGCTGATGTTTTTTTTTAGGTTTAATAGAAGAAATAAACATAACTATGTTGACTAATATATGCAATGAAGTTCATCTCAAAGGTAGCAAAGTAATAAAATGTTTTATAATTCACAACAAGAAAATACATCAATCATAGTGATGAGGAATGTTTGTAGAATGTACTGCTATAAATTTCATTCATTGTAATGTTTTTGGTTGAAGACTGATAACACATCATAAACTTTAAATTTTCAAGTAAATCTATTATCAACCCAAAACAATAGTCAATATCTATATTATCTTCTTATCTACATTTTAGAAGAAACTCATGGATATATGTTTTATTTGTCCACCTATTTATTAAAAATGCCTTGTCTCCTTCATTTTGGGTTGTAGATCTTTTAAGCTTGTATTATCAATTCCTTAACATATATCACACAGGCGCTTGTCTCTGAAATTTTTTATCTATATATAACTTAATATAACATTCTGGCTGTGACATATCTCTAGTGTGCTGACTCTACCAATCAATCAAATCAATCTATTTTGCTCAAGATATGATTTTTGTCCCCAAAATGAGGAATTGTCAATTTTCTGTTTTTTTAAGAATAAAAGGAGATGTGGGGTAAACCTCAATGAGACAGCATACAGACAACTAAAGCAGTCTTCTCGCTGAACCACAGGCCCAGCAGCCCAGGCTTGTAAAATTGCTCTCGGGCCTGTAAAAATCATATTTACAGGCCAACAGAATCTAACTAAAATTTTCCAAAAATTGAGCTCCGGGCCTGTAGATTTTAAAGTTCATCGTGAAGACTGCTAAAGTAACTATTTTGGATTCATTGTCATTTGTAGGATACCCATTTTCGTAGATTACTTGGAGTATAGGGAAACTATGAATTCAAATAAAATGTGAGTAAACAATTATTCTTATGAATTGTAGATAGACTTTGGCAAATCCATGAATATAAATACCCAGGAAAATACAAATTTTTCTCAATCCACCAAAATAAATGAATCCACAGTCAAAAGCATATTTTGCATTTTTATTAAACATCGGTTGATATTCAATAACCACATTCCAGATTAAATATATAATTAAATAAAAGTTCATTCTTTTCAATAATTACATAGTATAATTCTTAAAAACACTTTTCAAATTAGTTCATCATGCCGAAGATTAGATGACATTCAAAACTACAGCTTTCAGAAATAAGTAATTAACTGTAAGATTAATGAAAACCTTCTTCTTAATCTAATTTCCATCAGAAAATTGTCTGAATTAATTTTCTGGTTATGTAACCTTATATTGAAAGAAAACCAATAACTATATTTATTGACTTTCATTAATTCAAAGTTCTAGTGACATAAAGCAAAAGTACAAATTGAGATTCTGATATTGCTTAAATGTCTGTTGCAATATTTATGATCTGGTGGTAAATTTCAAGATGAACAACAGCAACAGACATGAAAGACAAATTTCTGTAAGATAATAATTAACACATTGTATCTTCTTTATTCTAAATTATAACATAAGAGATATGTAAAGATGGAAGACCATTTCTAATAATGACCTTCTGGGGTACAGATTAATTAGATGGTTTCAATAACATGTGTGAGTGTGGGAGGTCGAAGGTTCAACCCCTCCCCCCGGGTCAAACCAAAGACTTAAAAAGTGCTATTTGCTGCTATTGTTATAAGACGGGTCAGCTTGGAGTCAGAGCAGTGTGTCCGGGTATGGTGACATGTCTTCCTGTAGACTGTTACCTTGTGAACTAGCACGTTAAAAAATCCGGCTCAACGTGTCGGTTTAGAACAAGGCAGAGTTAACATTCATATTACATTAACATGTTCTCGTCCTGAATATGCATATTAATTTGCGGCTGGACGTTAAGCATCCATCCATCATCATAATTATCAATAACATGCGATGGAAACAACAAATATACAAGAAGAAAGATGTTAGGGGTATATGTCAATGAGACTGCAACCTAACCATACAAAAACCAAAAGTTAGTATATATTTGTTTAATTGTTAAATCTATCATCAAAGTTTTGGTCTTTTGCAATTCAAAAAGTTTTTGGTGTTCTTTGTATATTTTTGAACTCAACAATATGATCTATTTATATGCTTTCAATATGGTGTGAGCATGCACTCTTTATTGAAGACCATGTTCAGAGCTTCAATCTTTTGTGTGAATTTATTCTATGAATCTAGGATATTGTGTTATGTAAATCTAAACCATTTAATATTGCTAAGGATACCTTTTTTCTTTTATTTGCAAAAAATTTGCTGAAAATGTCATTAGTGTCCATCATCACTGATATTTGACATTTGCACATTTAAAATTCATTTTTCTATCTTCAACTTTTTTATTTTTGATTACAATTGAACCTACATACATTAAGACATTCTATAGTTGATAAAATTTCTTTTTATTGTTGAAGGCTTTATTTCTAGCTTAAAGTGATATTGTTACTAGTTATACCTTAAAATGATAAAAGTAATATACTGGTACAGTGAAATCATTGAAATGTCAATGCATTATTAATCTTCACTTTCTCTTTACAATTACAATATAATCTCTTATGTCCCCTGCTTTCCTCCTTGATGGTTAAATATAAATGAGAAACAGACATATGTGGGTAGTTAAGAGATAACTAACAAAAAACTTCATAAAACCCAAATATAACAATATTTGGAATGACTTGGATAAATAGGTTGAATAAAAATACCAATAATCAATTTCATCTGTGCTGTTAGATGATTTATGAAAATATGGCCATATACATGTACATTTACACACAAAAATCTGGTCATACCACAAGTTTTTGATGTCAATGTGAAATAAATTGTACATTTTCTACTACAAATAGCTTTTTTTTTATTCCAATGTCCTACAGGATCAAAGATTTACCAAAACCATAATATTAATGCATACTATCTTATATAAATTGATGCTTTAAATCAGAAATTTCCTTCTTTTATGAGTGGGTTGCAATATTTCTTAACTCTAGAAAGTAAACCATTTGGCTGGACATATGTTCCGAGTCTGCAGATTTTTTAAGGACATATGTATTCAGCGTAGAACATTGATATATTTCTAACAAGCTACAGACTTGTATTACTAGCACATGAGGTCTATCTTATAGCATATATTTTTAAAAGGACTATTTGGAATATTGGTATAAAGTCACATTGGTAATCTGGTGTTAGAAAATGTTGTGTGAGGATGTTTACAAATGTAAAGATATATACCATAAATGACTTTATTTTCAAAAACAAACAGTTAATGGATTCAATTTAAGTTCTTCAACATGTAAGCAACTGAGCATATCAAAAACAATAAATTTTATCACTGAGAGTGGACAAAAATTGTAATTATCAGGCTGAGGAGCAAAGAGAAGAAAAAATTGTTTCTCTTACTGTGGATTCATTTATTTTCGTGGGTATCAATTTTCGTGGATTGAGGAAAAATTACATTTTCGTGGATATTTGATTTCGAGGTTTTGGCAAAGTCTGCATACATTCCTATAGAAGATTTGTAATTCGTTGAACATTTGAATTCGTGGTTCTTGGGTAACCATGAAATCCACGAAAATTGGTATCCAACGAATAATAATGAATCCACAGTATATGTTTTTCATTGTAAAAATCTTCGATATTGAACTAGGAGAATATGATTTATTTGTCAAAGACAATGCAGCTTCCTAATATTTTAATAAAACTGGTTTTTCATTTTGTCAAAGTGATTTAAAAATTTTGAATTTTGTGTTTCATAATTTGCAGTAAGTGGAAAATTAATTAAGCATGCAGAGTGAAATAATATCAGAACCATTCATCTAATGTTCATTCCAAACTTAAAATTTTAAATCACATTCAATAACAATTTGATTAAATGTTTCCCACTGGTGGTCTATACTATATATGGAACTTAATGCACTTAGTACCAACAATTTGCCTACACTACATTTAATGGAAATTTAGCAATAGCAATTGTTAGAAATCCCACAGAAATAAAGAGGCAGGATGTAAACATAATAGCCCTAGTAATACTACCATTCTGACATTAACTGATGAAGGTTATATTAATAAGTGACATGGTGAGGATGTTGATGAGGCTTCTATCCAAGAAGCCATATTGAATTTCTAATGGAAGCAAACTTAATAATCTGGAATATCAAAGACTACTACAAGAACATAACGACCTAATGCCTATAAATCTAACATATAATTTATGGTCGAATACTTACATGATCCATGCTGTGGCAAACAATCCAATCTCACCATGTATTGATTGGCTCCAGGATTCCTTAACATAATTCAAAATGAAATGTCGTGTGTTTGGCGATTCACATCTTTTTCACATTTCTGCTTTTAAATAATGCAAGTTCTATTGATCTTGAAATCATCTGTTTTCATCTATTATTCTTTTCACAACCAGCGTTTCAACCACATTTGTCTTATGGATCAATTCCTGCTAATAGATAAAAGCAGAGAGCATGTTTATTAAATGTCCTCAACTTTCATGAATATCTGATACAAAACCAATAGGCAATATAAATATTATATACCTTCAAATGTATCGACAATGATTGTTCTACCAAAGGTCTCTGACATTAATCCATTATGCAAATCATGTAATAACTCGTCAAAGAACATTGAATCGCTATATTGACCAAGAGAAATCAATCTAATCAATACTATTTATAACCTCAGAAAAATCCAATTCTCAGGCTGATCTACAAACTTGTTTACCATCAATTCTCCTGTTTTACTTCTGCAATATTAATCAAATTAAAGCTGAAAGTTTTACAATAATAAACATAGTGACTCAATCTAAATCAATGGAAAGCTTTGAAAACAGTATCAAACCATCAAACTATTAGGTACATCTTTTTTCTATTCACAGTCTCAGACATAGGTGATAATGAGTTCCAATTTCAGAAACGTTATTACTTTCAAAAATGTCTGTCAATGTAGTTAAATTTGTGTGATATGTATTATTGCTGTACTTGATTACATCTGAACTATAAGATAAAGGAAAACAATCCTCAAGATGAAGAACAGCAACAAACATGCTGTAATACATTGATAGTTTCTAGTTTTCATAAACATTTACTCAATAGTAATTTTTTATCCATTCATTTCAAAATTAACATGAAATCTTCCAATAGAATTAGAAATGAATTATCTCCCTCATATTCTGTCAGGCACAACAGGTGCCATATGTGAAGCAGGATCACTTGAGGAAAGCCCTGGTTTTTGGTGGGTTCGTGTTGCTCAGTCTTAAGTTTTCTATGTTGTGTTTTCTGTACTGTTGCTTGTCTTTTGGTTGTTTTTTTTTTTTTTTGCCATGGCATTGTCAGTTTGTTTTCTCGACTCATATGAGTTCAACTATCTCTTTGATATCTTCTGCCTCTCTTTTAAATGTGAAACATTTTCATCAAATTGGTTAAATTTAGCATTATTTTTCTGTTCCTCAACACTAAATTACTTCTTGCACAAAATTATTAGACTTCAAAACAATATAATATTTTAATTTCACTGCAAAACAGCACATTATGACACATTTTCATAAACAATATATAAATTGTATTTCACTGCAAAAATACTGACTGACTGTCCATCAGATTTATCTAGATTTATATGAATGTGTGCTCCTATACTTAAAATTTGTGATGAATAGGCTTTGCATTAGACCATTAAGAAGGAGGTCTGGAGCCAAGCTTCAAAGAAGAAGAAACAGAATTAAGTTGCTACAACAGTCTTCAAAGGCTTAAGATATGGCATGGTAAAAGCAACATATATCATATGTTAAATAAATGTGGATAGTGTCCATTGTGTGTAAGTCTCATAACATTTAGTCGAGACTAACTTAAGTAGAGAACAGAAACTAAAAATTCAGCAATTTTTCTATTTGTAAACACGCATAACTCTAGAAAGGTTGTGTATAAGTTTTATAACATTTGGTTGAGACAAAATAAAGTTAGAGAACGGAAACGAAAAATTCAGCAATTTTTATGTTTACAAAGGGACATAACTCAAGAATGGTAAAAGTGTCGCCACCAAATTTCGTACTTAATCTGTATTATGTAGTAATAGGTCCGAGTACACAGTTATTTCGTAGTGCATTTCTTTTAGACAATAAATGAAAATTAAAAAAATCCCACCTGCGCTTTCTCAATAATATTTTTACAGTGTGTTGTACTACTTTTGGGACAAATTATATCAAAATTATAGAAAACTTCATCGGCTCTAACTCAAAATATGGACAATTTCATGTTAAGGGGGTCTTCAAATCTTTTGACAGCTTCCGAAGTGCTAATTTTTAACATTTTTCAGCTGGACCAAATCACTACTTCACTTTAAAATTCATGACCCAAATTTTTTTACAGTGTCATTTCACCCCCCTACTTACTATTTGAGTCATAAAACATGGAGAAATAAATTTGGAAGGGGTATAAAAAAAATCAACAAGTAACACACTGTCCACACTAGGGACTATATTCGTGGACAACGAAAATCAAAGGACGATAACTGTGTACCCGGACCAATAAGCATTGTATATAAGTTTCATAACATTTGGTTGAGGCAAACTCAAGTTAGAAAATGGAAACAAAAAATTTGTACTTGATCTTAGTTTTGTGGTAATGAATATTGTGTATAGGTTTCATAATGTTTGGTTGGGGCAAACTTAAGTTACAGACTGGAAACTGAAAATTTTGCAATCTTTCGATTTATAAAGGGGCATAACTCAATAATGGTTAAAGTGACACTACCCAAATTCAACTTGATCTGTGTTTTATCAGTGGAAGTCAAAATTAAACATTGCATTGTATAAAGCATTGATTGTAGTTGATTCAACTATAATCATGGACAAAGGAAGATAACTCCAATTTTAAAAATTACTTGATATTTAGAAGAAACTAAAAATTTTGCAATTTTTCCATTTATAAAGGGGCATAACTCAAGAACAGTTAAAGTGATGCCACCAAAATTCAAACTTGATCTGTGTTTTGTGGTAATAAGCATTTGTGTATAAGTTTCATAACATTTGGTTGAGGCAAACTTGAGTAAGAGAACGGAAACTAAAAATTTTGCAATTTTTCCATTTATAAAGGGGCATAACTCTAGAATGGTTAAAGTGACGCCACCAAAATTCAAACTCTATCTGTGTTTTAAGGTAATAAGCATTGTGTATAAGTTTCATAACATTTGGTTGAGGCAAACTCAAGTTAGAGAATGGAAACCAATTTTGGGATGTACGTATGTACGTACAGACGGACAAGGGTAAAACTTAATGCCCCCTCCGCTAAGGTGGGGTATAAAAAGTGTTTGGATACAATTGACCACTGCTGTATACAAAAAGTCCAACCTTATGCTGTATGACAAAAGTGGTGCATTATCAAACCAGTTGGGTCTTGATAAAAATAATAAGGGCCAGTATATGTTCTGATAATATGCAAACAATAAAGCAAAGTAAAAACACTTGAAAGTAAAATATTTATGTTAACAAAATCTCTGACTTACCTTTATAATTTATTTTCTTTGGTATCAATGTTTGTATTTAAAAAAAAAAAGCTTTTTGAGAGATAAATGATTTTGTGGTTTCAATAATATTACTGCTATTCAAGTTTTTAAATTTCTTTATTTCTTTTAGCATTTTAATTTGTTGTTTCCCCGTACCCACAAAACTTTGAATCCTATGATTATAATAAATCAACAGTATTTACTGTTTAGACATTCTGATTTACCAGTTCACATAATATTAAGATCCATCAAATTTTAAAGAAAAATACAATGTCTTTGTTTTCTTTCATCAAAGTCTTTGATTGGTCAAAAGTCTATGTAAATGAAACTTTTGATGAAATATATGCCATTCATCATGTATTGATATTCTTTATCTTGTAAAATCTCTTATTAACAGATTCACCACTACATCTGCAAATGACTCAATATCAAGTATGTATTCTGACATTTTTCTATGCAATGCAATTAAGTACCATTAACAGGATATCAAAAACCAACACTCCTTCAATACAAGTGCATTTCATAAAAATAACAAACCTTTCTTTATGAGTAGAACAATTTATGTCTATATTATCTGCTAACCATAATAAAGTGAGAGACTGAAACCAAACACATATATAGGTCCTCAATTTATCAAAAATTTTAAGAAAATAATTTGGAATTCCTAATAAATTTTTTTTTCTAAAATCCATCATTTAAATCAAATGGAAGATTTTTTTATGTAGAGATTATCTTATGAACCTACGTTGGTAACGATAGTCCTATACTTTGAAATATTTCGGATTTTTAACACAAAAATAGTTTTTTGGGGTGCATTGATCAACAAAATTTCCCTTTACTGTGGATTCATTTATTTTTTTGTTGGTACCAATTTTTCATTTATTAAGGAAAATTTGTATTTTTGTCGATTTTTGAGTTCTTTGATTTTCAAAAGTCTCTATTTAAGGTTATCGAAAATTTATCCTTCTTTGATCATTTAAATTTGTGGTTTATCAGAACTGACTGAATCCACAGAAATAGGTACCCCACGAATAGTAATGAATCCACAGTATATTTACACTTTGGACAATGAGTTTCTTCTGGCTTTTGAGAAGATGATTTAAAAACAAGAAGATGTTTAGAGGCTACAAGACAGAAGTTATACAACAACAAAAAAAACACACAAACAACTTAAATGAAAGGAAAGACCATTAAATAAAGAATTTATATCTCAAACAATCATTGCCTTTCAAGAATTAAGTGATCCTTATGTCACAGCTATTAAAGATGGCTTCATTTACCGGAATCATTTGGCAACTGATGCTATCAAATTGAACATTACCTAATAAAGGATACCGATAAAACATTAGTCTTTGATCAGTGGGTTTGATGCTCAGTAATTGACTTGTCAATCTAATCAAAACATAGACTCATGGAAAGGAAATGCAATTATTAACTTTTGGTGCACAATGCATATCAAAAACTGTTACAAGAAAGAGAATTTTTTTGTAATGCTTTAGTAATTTCTATTATATTAAAAAATATTGTGGAACTAGAAACTGGAAAATTGTACTGGATGAAATTTTGTATTTTTATGTAAATCTTATTAGGAATAGTTTAACTGCAAATACAAGTCAAGACTGTTGATTAACATTCTGTTATGTACAAGCTAATAAGTACTATTACATATTGTAAGGAAATATATTCAAATGTCCTCTACTGCAGGATAATATACAGAGACTTTATTGCATTCAAATTTATCTTTATTATCAGCTTAAGGAAAGAAAATGGTCTTTCAAATTTGCACTCTTTAAAAGAATATTTGTTTTGCATAGGCAGTTATTTGTACTAGAACAGGCCTAATTATTCCCATATTACCAATAGTTTCTTAGATCTACAGTACATATAGGGTTAATCAGTTAAAGGTTACTTTCATTGGTTATTTTTCAGTAAATACTGATGACTTTG